TGCTGCTGTAAGTTCATATGAGCAACTTCCCAGAAGCTTGGAAAGCTGTTTCCTTGTGGTCATCTACTATCTCTGGCTCTTAGAGTCTTTCCGTATCCTCTTCTGCAATTGTCCCTGAGCCCTGGGTGGCAGAGTTTTAATATAGGAATCCTATAAAGGAACACAAACTATATTCTCTTATTCTATGTATTTTGGTCAGTGTGGCTTTCTGGGTTAATCTCCCTCTGTTGCATGAGGAAGCTTTGCTGGTGAGAGTTGAGAGATGCATTAGTATTCTTTCTAATCCCTGTTCCACTATGTTCTATAAGCTTTAGGTGTAGAGGTTCCACTGTAGATGTGTCACTTAGGGCTGGGAATCTCACAGACACTTATTCTCTATGTTTCACCAGTTGTGGAACTCTGTAATAGCCTCGATCTGTTGCAAAAAGAAGTTTCTTTGATGAGTGTGATAGGTATGCTTATATGAAAATATAAGGATATATGTTTAGCACACAGTAAGAAATTATGTTTGTCTGGAGATATGACAGGCACAGGCTTTTCTCTAGGATCTGTGACCTCTCCAGCCATGCATTTGGTTATGTTTACAGTACTACCTATGCGTTTCCTCCCATTGAGCAGGCTTTAAGTCCAATTAGATAGCTATCGGTTACTGCCAAGATAGAAGTGCCGCTACTGCACTAACAGAGATAGTTTGCTGGGGCCAGTCATTGTTGTGGTTATTAGGCTTTACAGGTAGGGTTGGACTACTGACTGATTTTACTGCCTTAGTAGCTTCCATAGTATCCTCTAGAACTGTCAGAGCTAGTCTTCAGGGAGAAAGCTTCCAGGTCAGTTCCAGCTCCATTGCTCCAAGTCCTGTGTTTGAAGTATGCCCTATCTTCAGCAATAGGCTTTGACCTTCAAGAGGAAATCAAGGGCTATGACAATAGCTTGCATTTTATTGGGGAATTGGAGGAGTTTCTAGGACTACCCTGACTTGTACATCTTTAGAATGAGATTCTTCTTGTCTATGACCACCATCCTTAAATTTTGTGTTTTCATCGTGTCATGTCTATCTTTGAATTCCCACTCATATTTTATGATTATTTTACCTTTGTCCTTGTTGTCTTGTTCCAATTCCCCCACCGTGTCTTCAAGTTCAGATATTCTGTTCTCTGCTTGATTCATGCTACTGGTGAGACTTTCCACAGAACTGGTTTGACTTACTGTGTTTTTCATGCTCAGAAATTCAGACTGGCTTTCCCTCAGTATTTATATCTCTTTATTGAACCATTTCCTCCTATCTTGCATTGCTTACCTTATTTCATTTATCTGTTTGTAATCTCAACTTGGAACTTATTTTCTTCTTTGATTTCTTTGAACTTACTTATAAGCATTCCTGAGTTCTCTGTCTGAGATTTCATCTAACTGCTGTCACTGGATGCAATTGCTGTATGATCAGTAATTTTTAGAGAAGTTATATTTCCTTAGTTTCTCATTTTTGTTATATTACTTTATTGGGGTTTAAGCATCTGTGATTATTTAATTGCTTTTTTAAAAATTAAGCTATACTCTTTCCGTTGAAATACTTTGCAATGTTCAAGTGGGATTTGAATGCTATATGTAGAGTTGAAGTGGGGAGTTCAGGCATTAGCTCCTCACTCTGGTGTTCAGGGTGTCTGCAGCAATCTCTCTATTATTGTCTAGGTAGATTATTACCTGGGAGAGTAATCACAGCTGCTGAGTATCTCCACTATGTAAATTCCATTCCAGACTGTTAACAGCAGTGACCATTTGATTTCAATTGCCATTGGAGGACAAGTAAATAAAGGGTAGTATGATGTATACTCAGATGTAGTTACTAAAATTAGGTGTGGGAGGGAAGTAAAGAGGGTCAGAATAGGAATAAATATTGGATTAACCTTGAAAAGAAAGAAGTGGGTAAAGCATCTGGGAGGGGAAAATTGGGATACTGTTAGTGTTTACAGATTTTAGAGACTGTGTTTTCTACCTATCTGAAATAAGACAAGTAAAAGAGTACATTAATAGTGGAAAGCAGAATAAGGGGATTTATTCACTGTGACCACAATGAAAAAGGGACAAAGCGATCCAGAGACTATTTTCAGGGTCCGGATGTGAAATTTCCATCTGTATTGACATGCCAGCTTGTGTCATTATGAAGGTTTTGTTTTGGCAGCAATACTACTGAGATTTCATGGGAGCAACTTCCCTGTTCTATCTAGAAGTGAGATGAAGTTTAATTGGAAGGCTAAGTATATGCACATCTAAGCAGTCCTGATTGGCCCCCATCTCCTCACCATACTTTCATACAATAACAAATGAATTTAAGAAAAATTAAAAGAAGCAAAAAGAGGAGGACATAAGAATGAAAAAGAGGAACAGATGTAGGAACGAGAGAAAAAAATCTGTGATGTGGCTGGAGAACAGTAGAGAGTACTTTTAATAGTAGACTAGGTAGAGAAACATACAGAACAGTCCTAAATTCTGAAAAATATAACAAAAGCAAAACATTATGAGCCACATATGCAAAGGTGAAGATTAGATAACAGAAAATAAGACTAAAACAATACTTATGGAGTGAGTTTGTGGTCAGTTGAGCTGAGTTGAAAGGGGAGGTTTTCAGATCTCTGCCTGTAGCAGAATCTACTTGGTGCTGTGTCGGGGAGAGGCAAGTGGAAGCCCTGGGTCTCTGCATCCTTCATGTTCTGTGTGGTATGATTCTGGTGGGTGGGGAAGGGGAGGTCATAAGTCCTTTCCTGGTGCTTCCCTTGGGCAACCATGCTCCGCCATGACCTCCTGTGATCTTGTGGCTCTGATGTATGTGGGGAGCAGCACTTCTCCTGTGGTTTCTGCTGTTCTCCTCGAAGCAGATTGATTTGGTTTGTGTGGTGCCAGTTTGAGAGGACTTGTGGTCAGGCTAAGATTTTCAGCCCTCTCGCCTACCTCCTTGCAGAGATCTACCTTGACTTAATAAATAAATTTACAGATCTTGCCTCTTTCAAGAGAAGAGCTTACTATATTTTATCCTGACTGATTTCTGTTACTAAGATTCAGTGGTGAGGTTTCTAATCTTCCATCTTACAGGAAGCCAGTCCACCTCTCTCTCTTTGTTGAAACAAGGTCTTACTACATAGCTCAAGCTGGCCTCAAATTTATGATCCTTCTGCTTTAGCCTTCTACTCATGGGATTAGAGACATATACAGCTGTGCCCAGCTCAATAGCATCCTAACACTTCTTGTCAAGAAAACAAGATTATCAGATTTTAAAAAGCCTATATAGGATGGGGATGTAGCACAGTGGCAGAGCACTAGTCTAGCATGTGCAAGGCACTGGACTTAATCTTCAGCCCTTCAAATTAAATTAAATTAAAATTAGAGAGGATTAGTTCCTGGTATCTTTATCATTATTTTAATATTTGTGCTAGTTTTTTGTCAACTTGGCACAGACTAGACACACAGGAAGAGGGAACCTCAACTAGGGAATTTCCTCTATCAGAATGGCCTGTGGGCATGTCTCTGAGGCATTTTCTTGACTGTTGAGTGATGTAGGATGGCCCAGTCCACTGTGGGTGGTACCACTCCTGGGCAGAGCATCTTGGGTTATGTAAAAAAACAGGCAGAGCACAAGCCAGAGGAGCAAGACAGTAAGCAGCATTCCAGTGAGCAGCATTCCTCTGTGGTCCATGCTTCAGTTTCTGCCTCCGGGTTCCTGCCCTTTCCCTGAAAGATGGACTGTCATTTGGAAGTGTATGATGCAATAAACCTTTTCCTCCCCAAGTTATTTTTGTTCAGAGTGTTTTATCACAGCAACAGAAAAGTAAATAATACAATGTTCACTCTAATTTCCAACAGAGACTTTTCTGTCTTTTACTACTAGGATTTCAGATCTTGGCCCTTAAGGAATTAGGCCTCTCTGCAGTGTTCATTCAGGAGCTTTTGTCTCTAACTTTCCATTTCATAGCTAACAGTTACTGTGTGGCACTCAGAGTCACCACGGGCAAGCTGTTCTGCTGTCTTTGGCAGTATCTCACTCTTTAGTACTCAGACCCTTGCAGATTTCCCCCCTTTTGTAATTACCAAGAAGCCTAAGTGGACATTAAAACACCTTCCTAAAAGATAAGGTAGGCTATACTTGGTGCTAATCCTGAATGATTATACTTGAGTTATTTTAATGTTGGAAATAAAGGGCTTAGTTTCCCAGGCTGGAGTACTGAGATAAGTGATTTAAATGTGGCCACTGTGGAGTCTGATCTCATACTCCCAGATTCACTTGGAAGGCCTCAAAGGCCATTCAGATTGAGGAGAAGACCCAATCTATCATCCACTCTGGTGCTTCCCTCAGATTTCAGCTCAGACTCAAGGATCTAGTAAAGTGTATGTTGATTCCCAGTATATTCCCAGTGTTTAACCACTCTGCTTGACCTAAAATAGGAACTCAATATATAGGCCAAATAGGTAATGTCATGGAAAAGGGGACTTTTGTGTTCTTTGAGTTTTATGCCAGTCTAAAAAAAGAACAGAAACAGAGTCTTTCTACTCTGTGCCAAGGTAGTCAAAGTTTGGAAGAGCTCCTAAAACATAAATGTTTTAACCTGCTTTTAAGCATTTTCTATATCTAGCAAGCTCAGATTCCATCCAGGCCCTTAGTATATATGGGTCAAGATCCATCCTGTAGCAGGGCTAATTGTAGAACATGTAAAACTGATACCTGGGAATTAATGGTAGAGGGCAAGGGATCCCTTAGTAGTTCACAAAAATGAATGCACCCAATTGGATATGCTACAGGATCCATAAGACCACAGACCAAAAGACAAGAATTAGAACATTCCAAATCAGTCTTTATGCTTGGTGGCTATGGTGGCTATGAACCCCTTGCCCCTCTTTGGGCACCAAACCGTTAGACAAGAGGGTCACAGTAATGCAGAAGTACAAGAGCAATTCTGTCCTCAGTCCTGGAGATTCTCTGGTCAGGAGGAGCATGTGAAGATAGTACCTATGTCTCACTTGTAATACAGGCTAAAGTAGGCCACACGGTTCCGATGCTTTCTAAAGTCCTTGTCTGTAGACAGCTGCAATGAAAGAATGTTGTCTAGTATTCTAGTGAGAATCCTCTGCTTCTGATCTTCCTGATTACCCAAATCAGAATTTCACAGTGCTAAGCTTGTGACCCAGGTGAACCCCAACCCAACAGTAATTGAGCCTTAGTGACTCACTATTTAGCCAACTATTCTTCATCATCATCCTATGGTATTCATCACGCTAGGAATTATTTAAGTAGTTGGTGAATTTTTAAGTAGTTGGTCAGCATCTTGAAGCCAAGGATTGTATGTTTAATTGTATGTTGCTCATAGGTCCTAGCACAGTACTATTCATGGATTAGGCATTTAACAAATATTTGTGGACTTAATTCTAAATCCCACATGGAAAAAACATACCACTAGAATTACGACAGCAAACTCTGGTTAGGCATATGTGCTCATGTACTGTGTTAAATGCTTTTCTATATTATGTTTTTAATCTTCTTGGCCAAAATAATTTTATTATTGCATTCATTTTGAAGATAAGAAAATTGACGCTTAGAAAATCTAAAGAACTAAAGACCACACAGCAAGCCAACACTGGACTTGAATTGGAAGACAGGCTGGAATGTTCGTGCTCTTCCGTGGGTGCTCTCCAGTTCTTCAGTGATCTAACGTATTAGTGGTGTGTCAGCAATGGCATTGTCAGGAGTTAAAGATACACATTCTAGCTGCACACTTACCCAATCCTTAATATTCTTGGAATCCTCCTAAGTCATATAGGAGTATTTTCCTGCATCTACCCTAAGAGATTATCTGAGGGTCAATAAGGAAATATGATTTTTGGTCAGTAATCACCAATGTAAAGCTAATGAAAATTTCTCACTCTCCAGAAAAAAAAAAAGATTCTCGTATTGACAGATACACACAATTGAACACAAAATTTCAGGGAACTACGGGATTCCTGAAGTTCACTTACAGATGTCTGGCTAAGAACAAGTGATATACAGGATAGCACTAGACAGAGGTCTATAGAAAGCCAATCTTATTACCTCAGCTTTCAGAGTTCTTTTTGGCAGACATGGAACTTGAGCCCAGTCTGGCGCTCCAAATTTCATTGGCCAAACAATTTTTGGGGGTGGCTTCTTCTCTGGGTTGTATGTGCCAGGGCTGGAAGTAAAAATACAAGCATCATGTTTAATGTCTGCACACAAATTTCCCCAATATCACATTCAATTGTGAGCTAAGTGGAAGTCTTTGGAAAACAAACAAACAGCCTGATTTAACTTTTGTCAGACAAACACGAGAGTCCTTTCTCTGTTAGTATATTTCTAACTAGATTGCTAATGTTAAAGATAGCCAGATTCAACATTCAAGTAGAGCAGAGATAGACTCTGGTTAAAAAAATATTTATGTAACTCAGTGGTGTTAGCTGAGCCGTCAGAAGATGCTAGGATACAGGGATGAAAGAGACCAACTGAGGTGATGAACTAGTACTGCCCACAACTTGAACTTGGAGAATAATGTGCAGAGACAATCTTTTTGCAATCTAAGGCTGCAATCTTTTAGGTTCTGCAGAGCAGAACCAGTTAAAATATTTTGACAATGGATTATTTTTGAATTGCCTGTGTAATGTGCAGAACCAGTTAAAATATTTTGACAATGGATTATTTTTGAATTGCCTGTGTTTATAATGATTTGTTGCAGACTACTGTGGAGGGAATAACTTAAAAGTAAATAGAGTCAAGGCTCAACACTTAAACTTCCCTAATATAAGCTTGAAAAAGTTACTCACATTCTCTGATCTTTGGGTTTCTTGTCAGGTAAAGACTTCGGCCATTTTTCCTGTAAGTGCAGGGTGGTTCCTACAGCATCCCTTGGCTTATGAGGTCTATGTATTCTGGCCCATCCATCCTTCTGTGCCCTTACTTCTTCCCTGTTCACTACCTGCTAGTCATATGAACATCTTTCTTTTTCCCTCTGATCAAATGCCTTTCTAACTTAAAGCTTTTGCACTTGCTCTTCCGTTTGCCTGGGATGCTCTGTGTCCAAACCTTCACAGGATTAGCTTAGTTTTGCCAACCAGACACTCATTTACTGAGTGCTCTTCCTTAGCGACCTAGATAAAGAAGCTTCCAGCCCACCACTCTATCACATCATCATCCTGTTCTTTTTTTTTTTTTAAATAAGACATCACCACCTTATCACACTTCTTGACTTGCCATAACAGTCTTAGTTTATGGTTACTGTCTTGGGCAACTGTCATTTGGCCCCCTTTCACTCTTAGAAGTGTTTCTGTTAGACAGATAAATTAAATCATCATTCTCATTACCATTGGCATTTTTTGAGTATTTATTTTTGATCTATTTAGATTCTAGTATGTAAACACCAAGAGATCACTAGCCTTATGTGATGAGTATGCTGAAAGATCTGTGGAATCTACAAAACTGCCTGACATATTACTCAATATTTATTGAATGAATACCTGATTCTACAGTTATACCAGAGATCTGGGAGGTTAAGAGGTTACGTCTCTGGAGATGGTAGCTAGCTCTTCATTTAGCTGGGAAGGTTTGGATGTAACTTGTGCTTTATGTGCTTCTTTCCCTATTTACCTTTGAAGTTAACCAGAAAAAAAGGGGACATACCCAGGATAAGAAGGGTCGTTTGCTTCAGTTTTAAATCGTGGCATTGAGACATTAAATGGAGCAAAGCTTTGTTTGTATTTTTCGTCCCAAGTATTAACTTTCTGATACATGCCTGGATAAGGTGTCACATCCTGTTACCACAAAAAGATCAATGTATTAGAAGGTGATTATATAT